GGGGGGGGAGGAGGGGAGGGGAGGGAAGGGGAGGGGAGGGGAGGGGAGGGAGCATATCCAAGGGGTGAGGTCTGTGTGTGTTTGGTCAGAAGCAGTTTTGTGACAAGTAAGCCGCTGGGGGGGTTGCTGGGCCCTATTAGCCGCTGGGGGGGTTGCTGGGCCCTATTAGCCGCTGGGGGGGTTGCTGGGCCCTATTAGCCGCTTATTGCTGCTTTCATTGCTGCTGCTGTTGACAACTCGTCGCCCGTGATGAAACCTTGGTTTACGTGTAGAAGAACATCTTTACAGTATGATAATACAGACAGACTGACAGACAGACAGACTGACTGACTGACAGACACACTCGTTCGTTGTCAAGTGTTTTCCTTTCTGACTCACTTCACACCCGCACTTCCTTCCTCTGCCGCCGTTGATCACCCCGATTGCCCTGCCGTCAACATTTCCACAAAACGGCCGGTGTGCGCGCCGCGATCATCCATGATGGGTTGATCTGTACGTGACGGGTGTACGTGACCATGACAGATGTGGGAGAGGCTGGACAGGCAGAAGCCGCTGCAACAACAACAACAACAGCAGTTGCAGCAGCAGCAGCAGCAGGAGGAGGAGGAGGTTACTAAGGGAAGGGTCCAGCTCCGGCAAATCCTCGACGTGTTGCACGCCGCCTTCCTGCCGTACATTCCCTGGATCATCAACTCCCGTTACGCCGTCAACGCGCTGTGGGTGTGCGCCAAGACGGGCTACTGGGGCGCACCCGGCAGCGCCTTTGTGCCCGAGCTGCTGAAGCGCCTGAGGAGGGACAGGTACGGGCTACTTTACCGGTCAGGTGGTCAGGCGCACGGAATACTGTGGTGGGCGTTATCGCAGTGCAATCAGCAAGTTCGTGAAGAGGCCGCGGCAGCGGTGGCGGCGGCGGCCCCGGTGGCGGCGGCGGCGGCCGCGAAGGTGGAATCCGAAGCTGGTCGTGGCGGTGGCGGTGCTGCTGCTGTTGTTACTGCTACTGCTGCTGATGGTGATGGTGTTGGAATGGATTTGTTGCGGATGTCCGCCTCCATCATCAAGAAGCGCGAAGTACTGGACAGCGAGTCGTTCAAGCCCCAGGTGGGGTGGAGTGGGTGGTAGTGGGTGGGTGGAGTGGGTGGGTGGGGTGGAGTGGGTGGTAGTGGGTGGTAGTGGGTGGAGTGGGTGGTAGTGGGTGGAGTGGGTGGTAGTGGGTGGTAGTGGGTGGTAGTGGGTGGAGTGGGTGGTAGTGGGTGGTAGTGGGTGGAGTGGGTGGTAGTGGGTGGTAGTGGGGGTTTGGGCTGATGGTAATGCCCTCGGAAGACCCTTCGGAAGGGAACGGGGGCAGACGTGTTCTTCGCCACCTCGATGTCTTCCTCCCTGGCTGCCTGCCTTCACCACGATGTCGCTGAGTGCTGCCGCTGCACCGCTGTCATTGCCGTCCTTGTGGCCAATTCATTGCCGTCATTTCTGTCTCCTTATCTGCTGCTG